GAGTGGACTGGCCTTTTGGGCCATGCCAATAGCCCAGACACCTTCTCCGTGCTGAATATATATTATTCTGCCCGGGTATTGTGTCTTCTTTCGTCTTAAGGGAGTCTCGGGACGCTACATACTGGCAAATGGGTAACTTCACACGGAGACAGGTAGTTTTTGCAAGAAACGCCTGCAAAACGCTCTGCATTTTGGCATAACTCCTAGCAATATTAAAATTACAATAATGGTCAGTCTATGTCATCGAGAGTTAACTCAACATTTTTGGGCGACTGAAACAGAGGGAGCGTACACGTGTAACTACTACATCGGAAGTCACCCTCAGCAAAAAACATTACTAAGGTACAGAAGGGCCAAGGGGCTACCGACATAGCCCCAAGGCCATGCCATCGAGCGGTAGTGCAATTTGTTGTGACCCAGCCCTCCCAGGTAAAATTTCCAGCAGGAAAAACTTCCAACCATTCTTGGATTCACGCTATATCGGAACATTTTTAAGTCAGCACAAAAACGTATTTCTGCCCCCAAAAACTAAGAATTATGAAGCCCCTGAGCAGGGCTATTTCCATCGAGAAATAAAGCACTGGCTTCCCCTCTCTCTCTCCACCTAGGTGAGCCAATGGAGATCTATCCACCTGGATTACGACACTCACACACAACACAGACACCAGACACTTTCAAATGGCGGCCATCAACATTAAACTATGAGGTAGGTCTATCAAGATAGTGTAAGGTTAGTGTCCCTCCCAAAGGCAGAATTCAAAAGAAGTCACGACAAGGTTCTGATGAATTCAAATATCTCCATGTTTTAAACTATAAGCACAAAAACTATGTACAAGGAATGGGTAATGAACCACCATTAATTGATCGCATGCCATGTGAGCGAAGACCCTGAGAGATTTAGGTGGGACGGATGGGTTTTCATAGGGACAATGACTGCGACTCATCTTCCACGGACTCCGTAGCCACAACAGAGGACGTAGGGGGAGGCACCGAAATCGACGGTGGACTTGGAGAGCGCCCACTTGAAGTACTCATAGACGGACCAAGAGATGGCTGTGCCTGGCAAAGCGGCCACGACACGCGCGTTCATGCCCAGAAAGAGACCATAAGCACCTTGAGACTGCACCACCGCCCGACATGCTCCGAAGAGACCCCTGATGACCGGCTTAGCGGCAGGCGGGACAATCGCCTCGTTGGAAACACCCACTCCACCAGGTCTGCTTCCACCGTAGGTCTGCATCGTGTAGGTCCAAAAATTCATGGTCCGTCATGAGTGATTCATTAAATTTTAGCAGAAATTCTTTCGTATAGTGACAAGGACAGTAAAAGATAAATAAATTTCGGGAATTTTCCCTGCGCTAACTGCAGTATGTAACAATGCCCACCCGCCATCTTTTGTTTTTCGATAATTTTAAGTCCAGCAAAATGACTCGCTCGTTGATCACCTTCTTTATTAGAAGAAGGCTTGGGATGTCAACATTAAACAAAATCGAGGACAAATGTACAACTGCATCAGGTAGCAATGTACGCCATAAGCGTCTACAGATTTTTATGGTCAATTTTATCATCAAAATTTAGTAAGCAAATAGGACTTAAAATAGTCATACGATACTCACGATCTCCAGGTTATCCAATCAAATACAAAAAACTAGACATAAAACCAAATAATTATCAAAGTACGAGATTTTAGACAACTATAAACGGTCCAGATTGCAAGTCCATGCCACTAATATTGGGATTCTCGTGAATTGGCCTAAAAAAGAGGTTTACAATATAAACCAAGTACAACGCTGCCAGATTATGATGGAACGGTCTGACGCATAGGAAAAAAAGTCAACACGGATAAAAAACGGCCCAGTTAGGCTCCGAAGCTAAATGTATGAGGATGCGGGGATGTACTAAATGGTCACACAAGAAATCGACACAAGCTTATTTTAGAATCTACATTGGTTTTCAAACGCTGCGTATCATTACATCATTAACACAGGATGATGGTGCAGGTAAGTACTGAAAACGGGTAGTGAACTCACGCAGAGGCACCTACCTGCGTGTTAAGGACAGTTTTACACACGTCCATTGGGGTGGTAAGGGCCGCAGCGGTGGAACCGGCTAACCCGCCCGAGATAATGTGCGTCCACGGTAGATACTCCTTGGAGGGGTTCAATTTCTGCTGGAGTAACTCGTATGTCATAAACTGGATGCATTGGAAGGGTACGTTGGTGGAGAGCTGGGTGAGATAGGCGCGATATAGGATTCCGAAGCCTTCATTCCGACAAACCCTTCGTAGGCAGTCCAAGGTGTTGTGATATGGACTGTTGAACATCTGCAGACGCTGTTTGATGGCTAAAGTTAGGAATGCACGATCGTGACAATGGCATCTAATGCAAATCGGTATGCGTTAGCGTTCTGGAGGTAAAATAGCCAACCTTTGAAGTGGTTATGAAAATACTAAAGTAAATCAAAGAAAAAGAAGTCATAGACTTCTAAATTTCCAGGGTTATATATGCGCTTAGGAAGAAAAAAATGTTTAAACTACGTGAAACTATACAAAACGTGTTCAGAAAGGAAACAGTGCATCGAACGGTATTTTGAAGCAAAAACGCAAATTATAGGGAAACATGCAATGGTAACGCAGAGCATAAGTATGTTAACATATGCAGCTAAGGGTTAATACGACACGGTGGTAAATTCCACGAGTGACGCGCGAAGCCTGGCCGACTAGATGCCAGGGTGTGCACGTTAGTGAAAATACCAGTTTGAAGAAGCGAACAATCATGGAGAATTTTGGAAACCGGAAGTTTAAGTGGAAGTAGTTAAGATATGAACAATCTAAGACGAGAATAACAGACATGAACCGAACGCAAATGGGTTGACTATTCTACGAGTAAACCACTGAAAGTAAAGAGGACAGTGAGAAGTGGTCGAGCTCATAAGATCTTTTACATTGAGTCTTTTGCTTAAAGTAAAATTACATTTACCTAAAGCAGAGAACGTTTTGTACTGGCTCGGCAAAGGGAAGGAAATGGAATTGATAAGCAGTGACATTGGGAGAGCACTAGTTTATCTACGTCCGAAGGTTTGAGCTACAAAACGCTGAATGAAATTCCATAAAATGCCATTAAATTTCATCTGCGTTGAATCAGAGCCTACTTTGCTAATGTAATAAACGATTTAGCATGTTTGCGAGCAAAATCTAACCTTCAACCATTTTCAACAACAAAGGTAAGCCGCAAATGTGAAATATCATTCTGTGACAACAACAACAAATTAAAACAAATGATAAATTGTCGATTATCACCTGATGTGCTACTTCACCTAATGACTCGTAGTCAAAGTAAAAATACTCAAAAAATTATAGGCTCATAATGATTAAATCGTGCGCAGGTGATAAACTTTCTCTGCAAATTTATATCCGGGCGGCTGTAAGCAAATTAAGATGAAACGAATTTGAAATAATTGAATGCAAGACAGCAAGACGGCTAAATCCCACAAAAACCTGAAGTTCACGGACATCAAACTTCATCAGCTTTTATTAAGAGGCCGAAATGCAAAGACCAGAGATCCTACGCAAAATAAGGCAATATGGACTAAAGTCCTGGAATATATACCAGCCCATCTGGACTTGAGAACTAGGAACGAGGGGGAGGGCGGGGTGTTAAGAATCGGAAGACTCACCATCGGCGGGAGTCATAACAGCGTCATGGGCGACAGTCGCACAGGTCCCGCTAAGCGCGTGAGCGAAGTGATTGTAACTGGAATCGGGGCGTGTCTGGGAGACAAGAATAGATTTCATGTGCTCGTATAGACCAAAGTAGAGTGCGTGAGCTGGGCCTGCACCAAAAACTACGGCTCCGATTCCACGAAAAGACCGAAGAAATCCCTCTTGACGAAAGAGCTGTTTAAGACCCTCAGTCAAACTGATATATCGGTGAGCACCTAAAGGGCGCAGGCACTGCAACCGGGTCTTGAACACGAATGGAAGAGAAAATAGTAAAACTTATTAAGAAGATAGGTACAAATGGCCTGACTAAGGGTTACGCGGTGTTTTAGAAGATAAACACAAACAGGCAAAATAAACGAAATCATTCCGTGGAAGGCACTGCCTGGACAAAGTACTTTTAATGCAAAATTAAATGACCAAACTTTAGGAAATAAAAGTCAGACTCGCCTTCACACAATCTACTGGGTAGGTTACGCTATGCTCCATAATTCCAGCACAGGAGCCAGCAACCATGTGACTTATTGGCGAGGAGCCATCTGGAAGATCTTCGTAATCCTTAGAAAATTACAAATGATTCAGAGAAAAGTTCCACGCCTTTAAGAAGCGTTTATCCGAACATTAACAAATTTGTATTGCCGCAGTACAATAAATGCATATTGGGTGCGTGAGCACATTATGATTAACGTTAATTTCAGTGGCACCAACGTTTAAGCTAAAAACCTGGGATTTTATAAAGACTACGAACATAAAGATAATGGACTTATCAGCACATGATGAAGTGCGGATACAAATTGCCAAGTACTGGAACAAAACACCCAGGCAGCCAAATGTAAATGAAACAGATGCCTATTTTCAGGCCAAATTTAACCTTAAATGCAAAAAACAAAAGAAACGGCAAACATACCATGCCACGACAACAAGTGAGCGGGCAAAGCGCGCTGATAAGACCAAAAAATCACAGCTAATTGTAGCTCATACAAAGTATGCATGCACCTGCTCAAAAAATTCGTTATGAGGCGAAAATGGTAAGTAAAATCAGTTTATAACATAAGAATCCTAAACAAGCAATTTAATTACTTGGTAGTAAACAGATCTCTACAAAAGGATTGAGTGTTTTCATATTTACCAACATATTTATCTGTAAATGCATCAGGTGTATACGGAAGTGAATTCACAAGCATTGTTTGGCACCAAAAATACCGTAACTTGGCCTTACTTGGTTAATAATCAAGTGATTTTGTTTTGACCCTTTGGTTCATATCGGGACAAAGTCTTCTCACTGGTAATAAACGCGACTTATTCTAACATTAAAGCGTTTATTTTGGTAACATAAGTAAGCCACACATCATACCTAGTATTGTACTGCTTAATGAACTTAAGCGGAAAACCAGCAGACCATAACAAATCAGATGACTAATTTTCAATTTACCGGGTGTAGAATCATGATACTACCCTGAATAATAAGGTAGACAAAATACTTTTTTAAAATGCATTTTATCCTTATACAAAAGTGCCTGGGGCAAATAGTATTACTTTAGCGCTAGCTGACCCGGCGAAGGTGCAATGGCAGCCACCCAAAGTGGCCCCTTTATCAAAAGTGAGATTTAACCAAACTACGAGCGTATTACATAGCTCCTCTCCTCTTCTGGGCGTTGTCTTCGTCGTCCCCTCTAGTCCACCTCCCATATCAGCCATCACAACGTAATCGGTGCGGTTTGAAGAGCACGTACGAGCCAACCTTGCCGGTCATAACATTTCCATACAATTGAGGAGATACTTGACCACAACGTCACCGATTTCTCTTGCCAATTCTTCTGAATCTACAGTTCTGCCCTCAATGGGAACTGATTTCGGGGACGGGATAATGGGTTGACCATCACACGTGTCCATAGCTAGCCACAGGAATGCTGGCTCAAAAGCATTGTCAAGTAACCAAAGTATGGCGTTTGACATAATCCTGTGGGGATGATGTTTCGCGTTCATTTCTCCTTACCGCTTTGTTCTCACTTCAATGCTGCCCAGCCATACCTGCCTAAGATCTATCCAGCTACTAGAGAAGCAGAAGAAGTGTCGCATTTCCACGTAATTTATATCTTCGCACATGTAAGGTAGACAACGCCAATGGCAACACTTTTTCAGATGGTTCACGGCCAGTGTCGCTTCTGTTGTCAATAGATTTTCTACAGAAGACGAGACTGGGTAGTTGGCGGAGGCAGATGTCACTTCCACCCTTTCTGTTAGGGGTGGCCACCAATTCGCCCATCCGCAGCATACACACTTCTTGCGTCCCGCTAAGGTTTGTCAACCAGCTGGAGAAGTTAGGATAGACGTCGTCTGAGGTCGGGTTCGCTTCCCGATGCCACCAACGTGGCGCCTCGGAATTGACTCAAAGGCGGAGGGAGACAATACGCGTGCATAATATGTACCATCGACATACGGTAGTGTAATACTTATGTTGTTTTAATGGGCCTTTCAGGGAGGAGGCAAGCAGGAAATTCGAATCTCGTGACCGGATCGTCCTCTCCCTTACCTAGTGACTGCGGCTCCCCTCCTTCTTGAACATTGTATTTTCCCTCTCCATCTTGTCACCTTTAACAAAGATGTCCAAAGCGAATCAACCGGGCTCGTCTAGGAACGCTAGGAATAGGGTAGCGGAGACCGATGAGTCTCACTCCATAGTAGTGCTTGGATGCATTGGTCCGGCTCGGAGGCCAGCCCACCTGACGAAAACATAATTACTGTGATTCAAGGCATCTTTTTTACCAAAACTTATGGGTAAGCAACCAACGTACCACACAGGGAAACTTGAATCCCGTATAAAGTTGCAAATTACGCCCCTAGAGTCAAATTGTATAAAAGTACGGCAGTGAAAAATATACCTTTGGTTATTAGTCACTTTCATTTTTTCAAGAGTCAGCGTCATTTCTTAAGCTTTCAGCTAGAAAAGATATGCATTTAATCTCAACATCTGCGAATGCATTGTTTACAATTTCGCATCCGAAATGTTAGAAAAAGTCCAATATGGAAAAATAATTCCCTTTAATTTAAAAAACTCCTCTCAAAAATCTGCGGAAATTCAGGTTTATCTACCAAGAACAAAATATGAAATGGCTTTCTTAGCCAGAATCACTGTTTTATTATCCATGATCCTAGTATCCTAAGAAGCTTTATGTTTGACATTTATGGAATTTCTAAGCATGGCTTTTTACTTTTACTACCCCCGACTTCGTCGGCATTGGAATAAGTCAAATTAACTTAGAAGAACGGAGGCCAGCTAGAAGGGTTCAAGCGCGAAATTTCGCTACCCAAGTACCTGTATTTTAATAGTATAAGATCTCTGAATATCAAACAGTTGATTTTAGTAAAACGCTACACTGCTGTAATGTTTAAGGACAAATATCGATTTAGCCAATCTGCCTTTCCACCTTGAAAATTCAACTAAGTGCATCAGAATCCCTACTCCTACAAAACTGGGGAAAGAGGGTTTAAGTATTTTCTTCTTTGGATTAGATACGCCTGTTGCTGCAATCGATGCATTCTCTTTATCCCAAATGGTTCACACTAAGATGAAAGTACAATAATTCCTACCGTACGGTTTGGTTGGGATGTTAAAGGAAAAGTCAGTGGACTACTTCGTCGACCAAGTACGCGCCTCAAAAAGACTAATAAAATCAAATATTTTTGGGTGTGCACATGTACAACTATACATGATTGTTGTGTTCATGCATTGCGTTAGTTGTCCATAAATAATAAACAATGAAAAATTCGGTAAATTACAGATTAGAAATTCCAAGACCTGTAAAAGATTGAGAAAAAAATTTTCGTTTACCGCAGTGGTTCTCAAAAAGGCATATTTATGAGGATTTGAAGGAATCATATTTTGCTACGACCGGCCCGTTGGATACAACTTAAACTGCGGTTCTCTTGAACACGTGTGCAGGAATGCTGAATACGTTTGCGGTAATTTAGCATGGTATATTTGGGTATTCCTGTCGTATTGCATCAATGCTTTCGTTTATACGCAGATATGCGGACGGAGCCTTTGTTTAAAAGTTGCTGGCTATTGTAATATTAGTGTCTTGATCCCTCATTATGTTTATTTTTTCACGTTTCTACAGGGTTATTAATCAGAGCAGGGACTTACGACTATAACAGTTTATTTAATTGCAAAGTCTAGCTGTTTTTGCTACTTAGACGAGGTTTGAACTGTTACATTATTTTTTGCCATGGAGACTCTGTACTTTACTGTCCAATTCACCTAGTTTTATTTCTAATATCGCCACTTTTATAGGAGAAAGTCGTCTTTTTAAATCGGTGTAGTGGAAATTTAATAGTAGAGTTACGTTAGTTTTACGAACCTACCCTTCTTAAGAAGACTACACAGAAATATTTTTCACCTGCATGATGTTATAAAATCCCTTTTTATACTGGCACAGTGTGTGATGTTCTTTGTACGTGTCGCTTATCACGTCCTTTACTGTACTCCATTTTTAGTATGTTCTCTTTTTTGATGGACAACAGAGACGCCGATCTTAGTGGGAGTTCGCCAGATCCGCGCGCCTTCACCAAAAGGCTCCGACATGAAGACGTTTCAGATATCCTAATTGCCCAGCATAACCTACTCTTACGCCTGGAAAAGACCAACGCTATGCTTCAGACCGTGAATGAGCTCTCGATTCACCGATTGGACTCACTTGCTAGCCATTTGCGAGCGAACACGCGCCTTCTAGTTTCGATGAAACGTGAACTCGCCACGATTCTCAAGCGAACCGAGTCAGTGAAGAAAACGCTCATGCACCAGTATCCGCCTGAGTACGAGCAATCCTCAAGCTCCATCGAGAGTGCTTGGAAGGCAGAATTGGAGGCTGAAACTAGGGTGACTTCTGATGTCCAATCCCTTACTCTCATGCAGTCTATGGGTCCGCTTACTGAGTGACTAGAATTCCTACTGTAATTCATTTGTTTCAATACAAAACTATCTATCACTGTTGCCATATTTTTGGCGTGTGTCTAAAATGGTCTTTTCATGATTGCTATCTACCCTTTCAGATATGGGTCTTAATTTAGTCTCAGCAATATCCAGTATCTATTCTGGCATCCTGTCGGATTTCAAATACTGCAAAAAGTTCGTTGTTGACTTGCTTAGGGAAGTTGCTCACTTGGCTAAGGACTCGAAGCAGGCAGGTCAAATTTTGAAGCTCGCCTGTTGCATTTTCGTGGGACTAGTTGTAGTAAGAGTTCTGACCTACCTCAGTAACAGGTAAGGCGTAAAGAATTTGGTTGATACTTTTCTTCAGTATTGCACTCTCTGCCTTTTCGGATTTAATCTTGTTTGATGTCTTGTTTCTCCTTGTGGCGCTGGTGAGCATATGGGTGAGGCAACAAACGACTGATGTGAAGACATATTGTTTTGGATATGATCGATTCGAAGTGATTGCTGTTTTTGCCTCAACTATTTTATCAATTCTTTCATCATTTTATCTCTTGAAGGAAGCCATCGAACGTCTTTTTGAGCCTGTCGTGGTATGTCCTTTTGGGAACTTGTAGTGTTAGCGTTTTTGCAAACGGTATATCCATCCTGACAGATTACTACCACAAAACTTTCATGTTGCTACTTTATAAGTAAACCTAGCTGTATGATATTTAATTTACCTGAGTGTATTTTATACTGAACATCAATATTATCCAAGTGAGGACTTTGAGGCAAGCATGCGAGTTTTTGTGTATGAATGCGTAGTTGTACGTGGTATTGCACTTGTGCCTATCTCCGCCTTTGTTTATGTTACCGCTCAACATCGAAGTATTTTTTTTTAAATTGTAGGTAGCTGTTGAATACATGCCTTGGGCAAGCCTAATTTGCCTAGGATTACACGTGGTTTCGATATATTCTATTGATAATCCGGCTTTCGCGCACGTCACACAAGCATGTGTGTCTAGCTGGTTACAGGCAAGTCTTTGATGTATGCGTTTCATCAAAATCCCGGCTTCCTATTTTATTAATTTGACAACTAAAGCGGGGTTGGGTGTAATAGCTATCTGAACTAACTTTTAAGGAAGGATTTTCTTATGCATACCTTCTGTTAACTAATCATATTAACAGATAAATGTGTATTTCATACAAATTGCTACGAAAACTGTAATTGTGGAAAAGATGAGTGAAAAGTAAGTCAGCTTTTCAACCAGTATTGAGTTTGAAGTCCGCTTTAAATTTCTAATTGAATGCCCATCTACGCTGACTGCGAATGTTTTTGAAGAGCGCTGTCCTACTCAAGTTACGCAGGTCGGAAAGTCTTGTTCCCCATTGTAGGAGCAAGTTGCGGATATCAGTCGTTCAATGCGAAGCCATGTTCCTGCTCTCTCCCGGGCACTGCCACCACGCATGAACCCGATCGCTCTGGTAGGCTCTATGATCGTGGTGGTCATCCTGATTACCTACGTCATGGTAGACCCCACAACCGAGACTGGCACCTTTCCCGACACCGTTGCGGCAGTCGTTATTTCTCTCCTTCTTTTCAACACTATGTTTCCAATGGCTGTCTACAGGTACGCTACTGTCTTTTGCAATTTGCCGACAAGCCTCCATTGCCTGAACTTCACTTGCGTCGTCTGATTTCAGTGGAAAGATTTTATTGCAAACAACACCGTCCTATTTGGTGACAGCGTTGGACAAGGCTCTCCGGGAAGCCTCCACACTGGAAGGAGTGCTGGAATTGCGAAATGAGCACTTTTGGACGATTGGATTCGGCGCCCTCGTAGGGAGCCTTTATGTGCGAGTTCGGCGTGACGCCTCCGACCAATTGGTGTTGGCACACGTCACTAAACGCCTTCATCCTTTCGTCAAACACCTCACCATTCAGGTACACTCCACTCTATCACTCACTAGTGTTTTATCGTCAATTGAGTTTTGTATAAAAAGTCTTCGAAAAATGTCTTCCAAAGGAAATATCATCCCAGTAATTTACACCTATTTACCTAAGTGTTTAAAACGTTCGATGACATGCTGAAAGATCGTTCATCCCTTTAGGTCATAAAGGATGATTGGGCACGACCGGCAGCAAGCTCAAATTTCGATTGGCCCCAGCCGATGGGCCATCCACAGAGCGCAACGCTCTTGCAGGTGCCCACTGGCTGCGTGCACTAACGCGTTCCCGTTCTGCCACTTTCTGTTGCTTTGTTTCCATTCCACTCTCCTGTAAATGCAAAGTTCTCCATCCTTTCCCTTAGTTACTCTACCATTAACCTGCTTTTAGTCAGGGCCATCGAGTACCATACGAATAAGTGATAAACATCTCCTGATATTGACACTGAAATATTGGATCACATTGTCGCTACGATTCCGGAATCGACCTTGACCAATTGTTTTTATCCACGGTCCTGAAGTGGTAACTAACAATCCGGGAGGGGATTTCGGCCAAAAGGTCACCCAATAACCAGCATTTAGGCGATAGCGCAAAAGGAATACTCTAATAAAAAAGACATTTGCATTGTACAGAAGCATGGGGGCTACTTCTTGTGAAAGAGATCGCCAATGGCGGGAATTGTTACTTTGGTTGCCATTGGATCCACCACTTGGGGTGCTGCCACCTTAAGTGGGGGATGCAAGGACTCCATCGGAGCGACTGTGTCCCATTTGGACCTCTTCCTGACCTCTAAAACCGAATTTCCATAAATGGGTCAGCATGAGCGAATGCGAGTTGTGTTGTGTGCTCCAACATCTTCTCTTACCGGAGCGGTTTTCGGTTATGGGAGCGGGAACCGCGGCGCTGGTGCCAGTGGCGGCGGATGTGCCAATGTTGGGTCCGCCGGCAGCGCGCTGCAGCCCTGTGACTGTATTCACGCCCGCTGCACTGCTAGCCTCCACCTTTCGACGCTCCTTCTGCAGTTTATCGAGGCGCTCTACCTCGCGATTTTGTATTTCGCCCAGTTTATCGTAAAAGGAATTCGCGTCCCAACGGTAAGGATTGAAGACATCCTGTTATTTGCCACAAAGAAAGATGCAATATTGAACAGTCTTTTGGAATGCTTCGATTGTATGGATGACATTTGACGGCGTAACCTGTGGGTTACTCAAAATTAGGCCATGAAATTAAAAAAGCAAATGACAGTATGGGGCTGATTATGTCAACTACTTACCGACGAAAAGTTTGTTCCTTTTTCGTCAATTTCCAAGAAACTAATCAGCTTTTTGTAAATGCTATAATACATGAAAAAGGACGTCATTTGAACGGAATCTACACACTTTTAGGCATCAAAGGACATACAAGGATCGGGTCACGCAATAAATCACAATAAAAGTACTAAAAATTACAATTTTAGAGATTTTAACCTCATAATACCACCACGAACCTGTGTAGAACTTATGGTCTACATGCTAATTAAGTGAACGTGCTAAAACAGTTTTGGTACGTAAATGAGTAATTCATCATTTGTGTCAATATTTTTGACAAAGTTGGATTTCAACATCGATGGAGTAACATGGTACTAAAATTTGAATTTGCAATGTAGTTAAGATGAAATTGAACAATAAAATCAACGCTTAATGCCTTATGAGAGAAAACGAGCCAATATTGCAGATTTGCAGTGACTAACCTGGGATTCCTGAAAGCTTTGTTATCCTGAATAACGCTATTAGGATCAAATCCGATGTCATGCTGCATTCGACGCAGAGTATTTTCAACAGTATTCTGCAACTGCATACTACAAAGCTCCTTAGGTTCTGGCGGCAGGGCCACTTCCAGGGATTGATTGTGACCGCTGCCATTTGAAGGTGAGGATTGATATGATGGTTGCTCCTTCTGAAAGTGTTCGTCTGTGTCACCGTGGGTCTCCTCAGGTAGCGTCGCCGGCGAATCGTGCGCAGCCTCGATGTGCGCCGAACTAAGCACGGTTAGTGGACCGCCATCAGGAGCACCAAAGTGGAGAGCACCACCAATGGTACTGACGTCGTTATTCTCTACATCACCGTCTGCGGAGGAGCCGCTGTGGTTCGACTCCGAACCTTCATTTTCCGAACCACTGTCACCGTCATCATTGTCCAGAGCATAGGAGACGAGATTTATTCCACTCCCGATTCCTGAACGAAAGCGTTTCTTAGACTGCAGTTCCGGAGGCTTCCACTCTTCTGGGTTATTAGCAGTCTTTCGTTTTTGAGACCCTAATGATGACTCGTTTTCGTCCTCTGAGGTCACAAAACTGGGAGAATTCTCAACGGACATTCGTGTATTGCTTGTTTCGCTTCCAAAATCCTGTAACATAATGAACAAACGTAGCGCAATCATGGGACTTGTGCGTAATTTGACAAAGAAAGACATTTCTGGGAAGACATCGCAGTACATCATACAAACCGGATGATCAAATTCCTGTTACAGGTCCACTAATGAAATCCCCCTACCAAAGAAAGTCGTCACCTATGCGGCCTTACATGACTCACTGATTATTTTCAAGTAAATCAAAGTCCTAGTTAAATACTTTATCCTTGTAAATATTGCATCTGAGAGACAAATTTAGTGTGATTAAGTAAAATTGGGCCTAATTTATGGTAGTCACCAACATCACTTACAAATGCCTAGCCAAGCATAAAAATAATCGCAATATTCAAATGGTAATTTGTAGGGAAATAGGGTGAGAATAAGTAACAACATTCACGTACAGTGTAGATGAACCAAAGTTAAAAACACCAGAGCAAACTGAAAAAGAGCCCCAAGTATAAGCGCGTTTGAAAAGAGAATGAAGCAAATTTCAGATCCATGCTATTCCTTGCATAATCCCAAATAGAGATGTGAATGAACACATACCTCCACGAACGCCCCAAGTGACACACTACTTTTAGATCGTGCACTGCAACTGCAAAAAAAGTAAAAGTTTCCTCCTTAAAACTTTTAGATATTGAATAACTTCCTACTTTATTGGGAGTTATTATATGAATTTTAAAAGCCTCATAATCTAGTATTTTTAATCTTTTTAAAAACTTTAGTTGAATGCTACTGGGTACTAAAGGTGAGGAAATGAGCGGTGTTGTGTAATGCAGATGTAATACTTGCTTATAATGTCGTTGTAATTACGTATTATATATAATGATATATCTTCCTGTGTATTATTATTTAACTTTGTTCTCTCAGGTTTAAGTGGTTGAGACGCTATTTAATACTGATTGCTATATGACTGGGTGTACCTTTCTGCTGTAGCTGCATCTTACATGGATTGGCTTTGGACTCTTTAATGAAGGTAGGAACTGTTTTGGTGGCATTTGTGGAACTTGTTGCTAACCCCTAATTCATATTCCATGTTTGTCTATTTTTTATTAACTCTTAGTTGTGGTTTTCCTGAGGAGGATTTTCGGTAATAACCGTAATCTATTATAACCTAAATGTGGAAAATAAATATCTTCACTTTGTGTGGGTTGAAGACGAATGCTGTGTTTCACCAACGGCTAATTTTGTTCGCATTCTCTTATCATCTCTGGTCCTGAATATACGTTTTGATTCCTGTATTGTTGTTGTAATGACACATATGCAGCACATTTCCTAATCGGTAGTAAAAATAATGATGTATTATCTTGGAATTTGTGAATGGATGCAATTTAAGCTGCGGCGGAAACCATCCTTCCATGACTTGAGAACAAGGGAAATCTCTAGGATTATACTTACCCGTGTGTACATCTTTTATTCTGTATATTTTAGAAATGGGCGGTTTGCACTATTAAGGTCCAGCACAAGTAAACAATTGGCCATTGGTTTCGAATATGCGAGCTACATGTAATCGAAAGTCTCAAGTGAAAAAACAGCCGCTCCCTCACTTTCATAATCTGCCCATCAAGGCGACCCTCAAGGCACACGTGCTTAACAATGTTATATTGGCCCATCCCCGAATAATACGATGCAGATTCCCATTCCATTATTCTGAGTTCCAACGACAATATAACAGAGTAGAATCCTTGATTCCGTGGTGTCATGTGGTTGGTCCCTTCCCCGGTTTGCAACAAGGCGTGGAGGACCACCTTACGGAAGATCTCCATTCACTGACCTGGCTCCAGCGGGGTGACCTAATTCCACTTACTCCAATCGACAGAGATGCAAAGGAAAGTGACTATGCAAATAATCGGAAATCCCACTTCGGCTTCTTTTCATACGCCCAGATGGCCTTCCTGGCCATCGAAGCGGTCCCAAGGAAGGCGTGTACCCTTATGGAGATTGTTTTCTGGTGCATGCAGAATTTTCCTGATGAAATCAGCGTCGACTCTTGGAAACTTCATATGAAACATATACTGGTGTCTGATCAGGCATTTAGTTTGCAAACATTCAATTCATTTTCCAATGGGGTATGTTCTAAAAATGTTCTAGGGTAGAAGGGTCTTTAATATAATACAGTTTCAAATACGCTTTTTGCTTTATAAAGTCAAAATTAAGTAGAAAACTACTTTTTTTCACCCAATGCTTTGAGAAGTGGTTGAGATGCTTTCACTTGAACTCAAAAGCTGCAAACAACATTGGTGATGCCATATGAACTAGCCTGTTAAATAGATTACAAATTGTGAAATTCACTGGCAATGTCCATACTTTCTGCTGTCTTTATAAGTTAAACCTGCACTCGTAGTCAAATTTTTCCCTGTCAAAAGTTGGCAAGACACATGGCACCCTGATAATAAGGCTGCTACAAATGACAGTGGGACTTTAATCGGACAGCTTGATGTAAGTAGTGGCTAAGCATTACCTGCCTCTTTTTCCTGACCAACAAATAAAAGTTTGAAGTGTACTCTCCTTTGACTAAGTTGTGCTAATATTTTTATGTTTTCTCGAATCTATAATTTATGAACACATGGTTGATTGCTTTCATTCATGATAAATGGGAAGTGGACCTGTACACATGTCTATAGGTAATGCCTAACAGTATTATTTTACGCTCGCTCCTCTGTCATTTTGACCCACCACTCAAAAGGACTGTCGAACTCTTGTCCTCATAGTACTAACTTCAAATGTGGATGTTTACTTCCTTCAATTTTGTCACCCACTCCTCCACTGCGAAGAGCCACTTAATCACCTATGCAGATGGGTTTCGTTTCCCTGAAAGGTTGCTATAGTGAGGAATGGTAAGGCTAGTTAATTATTGATAGATATTTTTACGCAACGATACGATTAACGGTACCATCGGCACTTCCACTTATAATTTTCTGCCCCTAGGATACATTTTACCCACAATCAACTAATCCCACCCACAACTGCTAGCCTCACAAGTTATATGCAAGGTTTTTGCACTTAACTTCAATAATGTAGTAACACAGTAGGGTATTCTGCTCAGATAGTGACTAATGACTGTAATGGTTACAAATCAAAGACAATTTCGGACCATAACCTGGTGTCATTGAGGGATTCGAGCCACGTATTATTTGTGAAATCTATCTTGGTACTAGAAAAGGAGAATTTAATGAGGTCCATAGCCTTGTTTAAATCCACTTTTGTTGCACTAAGTGAATAAACTTCTATCAACTGATTATTTCAATAGATTGCGCCTTTTATGCTGCATGACTAGCAAAAGTTGTAGAGAACTTTAACAAAGCTCACAATTACTAAACTAGAAGTCGTAAGTCCTATTCATTGTTAAAATCATTTTATTTGATGAAGGGACTTAGAGATAGAATGACCACAAAAATGACCCAAAAAACAAAGCCGTGCATAGGGATTCATTTGTAACAGTAATGTGCTCATAATAAAAATACCAACGGTCTGGAATGCATAGGTGGAGGTAGTCACATAGAGATGGCGTTGCCTCAGTGGGGCAATTTGATGATGTGCAATATGGGGGCTGCAGTTGCCATTCATCTGAGCAAATGTTCCCTGTATGCTGGTCTTGAGGAGGCATGACAGTCAGTGCGCTCATCACACCAGTTGATTAGGTGGATTTTGACAAGCTTCCTGGATAAATAGGGCAGTAAAGTTCGTGTCGGATTCATTTGTTCCTCCCTAAATCATTGTCATAAAAGATATGTGTAAAAATGATCTCAGCTATAGTGACACAATCGGAATGTTAAATTCACGCTCCCGTACATGTCCAAACAAATGTGGATTATCATAGCAACTGCCGTTTCTACTACTTATTGAATCTCCCAGATGTCGTTTGCTCATAACAGGAAAGGTGATATTGCAGATATGGTAACAACGGCAAACTGATGCTAAGTTGTCTTAATCTGATGCAGAGAGGGTTTGGAAGAACAAATATATTGAAACATTTCCAATTAGATGTGAAATTAAGTGACCAGTGATGATGTTTCAGATTGAGACGCCCCTCGTTACATCTACCGAATTTGTGCAAGTAGTGTACAAGACATAGTTTATCGAAATCTATCACCATGCGTTTGATTAACTGCAAGCGGGACAATGGCTGCTGTTTTAGGTGCATCACTACGACTCTCTTTGGACATGCGTACCGGAGCACCGAGACCACCTGCTTCAATCCCTCCGCCACATAATGCAACAGCGAAACTATACAGTCCCTCCTGGGGTAGAGAATCTCCTTCAGGTGGGCTTTCATCTTTAAACCGCTGTGAATCTGTCCAGCCACATAAGTCTAAAATACGATTCTGTGAAATTAGTCAAACTTATTCTTGTAAGTGTCGGCAAAGTTGGAGTTTAATGTGATTTTACGGTTAAGATTGCACCTCCACATTGGTGAACTAATGGGTCTTTTGAATATTACTGGCAAATAAGTAGCATAAGCTGGCAAAATAGGAAATAAGCGCTTTTATCAAGTTCCCTGTAGGTTGTGGTAAAACCTAAGTGCTTACTCTTTCTAGAGTTTTAGGTGAATCCCATCATAAAGGATTTTCAAGTGACTCCGTTCAATATGTCTGTACTGCACGGGGAAAACCAATGCGATGCATTAGAAACCTTTGCATAAGTTTTGGGCATTGAAGTTTATATGCAACCACCGTCAATCCAGATATTCTCTTAAATTTGTCAAAAATTTATCCGAACACCATTCTATCCCTAACATAAAATATGAGCCCTGACGATTCATCATATTATTGCATCGAATGCTGCAGTAAAAAAGGCTTTTCGAAATAGCAGCCAGAACAAGTAAAGGCGAAGGATAACAGTTGTGAGTGATTTGGATAGAACAATAAAAGCGCGTGTGATTGCTCAACGCGCAATTGCACTCAATTAAGTGGATAATGGTTCTTTTAAACAAAATAAGGGTGCAATTCACGTCTTTTTTGGGGCCACAATACATCAACTTGGCATGATGGAACGTATAATGCGAACTTTTAGGAAAGATGGGGTGACAAACAGTGTATCCCGAAGAGTGCGCTGCAGATTGGATCTACACCCTACAAGCAGAGCGTAGTTTTCCGCGATTTAACCTACTACTGAGTTAAATGCCAGACCACTGAACATCTAACCTATGGGTATATGTTACAGTTATTCCAACTTATTTGCGAATAGATTGACCCTATACAAATATTGGCACACATAAAAACACTCCTAAAGCAGGTGAGCTTCAAAAATTTTTTTAGGCTAACATTTATTTAGTACACGAATGCCTTGCTTAAAAGTTTTTAGGCTGGATACCTTTTGTTTTGCTTGCGAGAGTTTGTTTAGTTTTAATGTATCAGTGCGACTCTTAGGGCACCACGCGTACGTACTAGCAATTCTGCGTTGGAATTTTTTGATATGGGTGGTGAGATCGTTTGTTTCTTGACGCTCATGCATTGTTTTTGCAGTTCGATTTTTGGATATAGTGAAACCGTTTTGTGCTATCCTACCTGAGATCGCTCGACCAGAGCGCAAAATTCAGTTCAGAGAACGTGTGCTATGGACAGGAATAACCCTAATGATATTCCTGTTCTGTTGTCAAATTCCTCTTTTTGGAATAATGTCATCCGAATCAGCTGATCCTCTTTACTGGCTTCGAGTTATATCCGCTTCAAATAAGGGAACTCTCATGGAACTTGGCATTTCTCCTATTATTACATCTGGTCTTATAATGCAAGTTTTGGCTGGAATCCAGGCTCTTCAGGTTGGTGATGCTCCGAAAGATAGAGCACTTTTCAACGGAGCCCAAAAATGTATGATTTTGATGTACTTACTGACGTATTTAGTGTTTGGTATGGTTATCACTGTCGGTCAAGCGTCTGTGTATGTGATGTCCGGGATCTATGGTCCTCCTAGCGAGTTGGGCGCTGGTATCTGTCTTTTGATAATCTTGCAAGTGCGTCCATGCTATAATAACCATCATTTTAGTTAACTTTTGCGGGTCTTCTCGTCCTAATGTTGGACGAATTGCTCCAAAAGGGTTATGGTCTTGGCTCGGGCATTTCACTCTTTATCGCTACCAATATATGTGAGACCATCATTTGGAAGGCTTTCAGTCCTATCACTATAAATACCGGAAGAGGTTCGTTTCCATATGCTGATGTTCATCGGGATCTTAGGAACTGAATTTGAGGGTGCCGTCATTGCTCTCTTCCAATTGCTAGCAACTAGAACCGACAAAGTTCGAGCTTTGAGAGAAGCCTTCTACCGTCAAAATCTACCCAATTTGATGAATCTCATGGCTACTGTTTTGGTATTTGCTGTAGTTATCTACTTCCAAGTAAAAAATTCAAGTGATTTTTACATTTTCTAGAGTTTTCGCGTTGAAATAGCCGTAAAGTCCATTCGTTATCGTGGTCAAACTACATCCTATCCTATTAAGCTATTCTACACAAGCAATGCACCTATTATGCTACAAAGTGCTCTTGTGTCCAACCTCTACGTTATCTCTCAGGTATGTGCAGAACCTATTAGAAGTGATGGATCCACCCGCAGATGTTATCTAGCAAATTCCGTGGGAATTTTTTGGTAAACCTTCTCGGTATTTGGTCCGATGGTGAAGGCGGCACGCGCTCGGCTCCCATTGGTGGTTTATGTTACTACATGACTCCACCGGATTCTTTTTCGCAAATGCTTATGGATCCTATCCACGGCATTATTTATATCGCATTCATGCTTGGAAGTTGTGCCTTCTTCAGCAAGATCTGGATCGATGTGTCCAACTCCAGTGCCAAAGATGTTGCCAAACAATTGAAGGAACAGCAGACTGTCATTCCTGGCCACCGCGAGGAATCCATGGTCCACGAACTTAATCGACACATCCCCACCGCCGCTGCTCTTGGTGGCCTTTGGATTGGAGCTCTTTCTGTCTGCGCCGATTTCCTTGGTGAGTTATTTGCCTAAGTTTTTGTTCATAGTGAGATTGTGTTTTTCATTTTAGGTGCGATTGGTAGTGGAACTGGTATTTTGATGGCGGTGACTACTATTTATCAATATTACGAAGTCTTTGTTCGGGAACAAAATGAAATGGGTGGATCAATGAGCACATTGCTGTTTTAAGATTTTCACTGCAAGAAAATGTACAAGAATACCTCATTTGGTGCTCATGTGAGTTTTTGTAAATCTGTTCCCCAAGCATGGCCTCCAAACACAAAATTTTGGTGGAATTATAGTTTGCAATTGATTAAGTAGGGTTGGTGTATTGTGCATATTTTTTACCATGATACAGTCGTCCTATTTCTATGACCGGTCGACTGCCACTTCAAAACTTGTCTTACCTTCCGTCTCTACCACCTGTATCTCCTCACTTGTCGCCAATTTTCCTCCCTGCATGCTCTCCACCCTTCATCTCTATGAGGCTTCCTTATTATCTTCGTTTCATTGTGTACACATTGTCATAATCTAGTCTGATTAGGCCTTATTTTCTGTATACCTACGAAGGGTTATCAACAATGTAATGGTGATAACATGGCCAGATTTTTCTTCAAAATCAAGGACGAAGGCGGGTGTGGGGAGATAGTTTGGCGATCTGTGACTTCAGCTTTCTCAGAAGAGTGAGTTTGGCCTATGTGCCTTGCGTGGTGAGTTCTGCAGTCTGGTGGCGTGCTCCAGTACAGTCTGTTGAGTTAGAATTTAGACTCCATTGTAGAGAGAGGTTGGGAGGTCGCATGGCGCTTTGCTTATTGCATTTGACTGGTACTCTAGCTATGCCACGTGAAACGTGAGTCGCGGGGGTTGTTGGTGTCAACCGCGCTTCCACAATTCGACTCGGGCGACTTAAGGTAGGCAAAAAATTCTTGGTGCTTTTGTGAGATCATCTGACTCGTGCGTTTCGTTAGTCTGTTGGGGGCACCATAATGCCGGCTCGGATCAATCAGATGATATGCGAGCATGTGAGTACCCGGTCAGTGCATCAAGGTCAGAGAACCAAACGCCCTGCAGGAAACTTGCCATTGTACTTCATACATTATGCTGGAGGTCTTACGCTCAAACAGGAGTACTAGCTCTGCTAATTTATTATGTGAAGAAGATGGGTGGTACACGGTGCGTGTGATCAAAGCCAGTGACTATCTCACCTAAGTTCCAGTAACATTATTTTCTAAAGTGTAGTAAGTCACTGAGTTACGAGTTCTTCCACTATGTTAGAAGCACTTATAGTCCCTTTTATCCAGATTTCATGCAGAGATATAAATCACAAGAAAAACGTTACAATAAGAAAAATTTGGCAAAACGGTTGATAAAATGGTAGTATCAATTTACTTTTTCTAACTTCGATATACAGTGAGCAAGAATTTCAAATATTAGCATTGAATTTTTCTAAAAACGTAACCCTCCTGAAGGACGGACTACTGCCGTCAGTACCACAGGTAAAGGTGCATCGCAGGCGATTATTTTATGTCCAAGGGTTTTATGTGTTAATCTAGTGACTGCATTATTCAATGTTGATAGGAGTGATCGCAAAATTTACCATTGTAATACAATGATTTTAGTAAGAAACTGACACCTTTAATCTTGTTATAACGACGGCAGTGTCTCGATGGAATAGGGATAATGTTTGAAGTCGAAATCGGTAGAAACATTGTACGACGCGAAAACTCTTTGGTATGTTCTGGTGTTCATTACTTTTTGGTATGTAGGTTACTGGGACCATGATCCTTAAAGTCGCATGGGAGGCGACTTTATTGCATTCAGGCGTCACAGGTTAGCAGGGTTTGGATTAGAATTGTTAACACACTTAGTTTGCAGTATTTAATGAGTATTGCAGAGTATCTAATTGGCAATCCTAGTTTTTCATAATGTATTTGGGGTTTTGAGCAGTTGTTTTCTCTTGTTTAGTTAATTTTTTGTGGTTGCTCTCCTTTTATACCACATAGAAAGTGTCATTCATAAATTTTTGACGTAAATTGTGCAAATCCTTACTGTAATGTGAATAAATTTGTATGCGAGACTAAATCTATTAGTTCAGCCTAATCGCTTCTTACTGTCGAAGTCAGATAATGACTTCAAATATACCTTTTTAACACCCCGGTAGTGGACTTCGTCCCCACGCAAAATATGCGAAAATACATTTTCTTAGTTAAGCAAGTCGTTTGATTTAATTGATTTCGACCTTTGTCCTGCGTTGCGTATCTCAAGGTTGTTCATCGCGGTGCTTGCTTCATAGGGATGGATGCCAGTCTACTCGGCAAGAGTGCCCTGGTTACAGGTAGTGTTTAGTCATTCTGCCTATGCGCAAAAATCATATGACTAGTTAGTCACTCCCGACTGTAATATTGCAGGAGAACCTTGTGTTTACTTGCTAGAATATACCAATGTTTCATTTTCCTTTTCGTAATAGTTGGTTGTGCGTTTGCTCCCCTAATCCCATTTGGCTGTTTACCTGTTTGATTTAAAAGTCCTATCTCCTTATATGTTAGTCTATCAGAAAATTTGTCTTAAATTATTATCGTTTAATCCACCACTCCCTGTCCTCATATGAAAATGTTCGAATGATTGGCGTTTTCTTAATAGGTGCAAGTTCGGGTATCGGACGCGCTACGGCTGTTCTATTTGCAAAACTAGGTGCCGGTGTGTCCCTGGTGGGTCGCAATGAGGTCAATCTTGAGAAGACTCGCCAAATATGTCAAGATGCTTCTCCAAATCCTGAAGCCTATTTTCACGTAGTCAGGGCAGACCTCGCTGAGCTGGATCAGGTTTCAGGCGCCTTTAATGAAACTATAAAGCACTTTGGCAAATTGGACATCCTGGTAAACAATGCTGGTTTCCAACTGAGAGACAGTGTTGAGAACTTTGACCCAGTCGCCTACGAGCGCCTTATGAATGTGAATGTGCGCTCTGTGATAACACTTTCACACCTAGCAGTGCCAAAATTAGAAGAATCAAAGGGATGCATTGTTAACGTTTCTAGCGTATCTGGTAACAACTCGGTAAGAAATGTAGCGACTTTTAGTAACATTCTAACATACACTTCCGTATGTGTGCATTCTCTGTCCGAAATTTTATGCATTGGTAAAACGATAGTTTAGAGTTGAAAACGGCTGCGATGGGTTCAGTGATTTCGGTAAATTAAGATTAAAATGGCGGCCTGTAATGAAGGGACGTCACGTCTTTGTGATATTCGTTAGAATTTATTTAATCTATTACCGTCATTGTTTTTCATTCGACAGTCGTTCACGGTACTCCATTTTAATGAATTCATCGCCATTGCCTACTCATAGCCTGTAAATTGTAATGAGTTTATGTGATATGCGCGAAAACCATTATGATTGTGAAATAGCTGTTGATTGGTAAAAGAAACCTGGTAACTACATGAGGACCTCACTTAAGGGTTGATGCGCCATGTGTTATTCGAAGAATGCACGATAACGACTGGGTCTCACACCCATGCATTTAAATTGGACAGCTTTCCATGCTTTCCGGTTTAATTGTGCGGACCTAGAAATTCTTTATGTACTGACATTTGCTTAAGAGATTCAGACAACTTTGTAACTAGTGATAATTACTTAAGACATTGAGGGACTCGAAAATATCTGCGATGTTGGCGGCCTTTGTGCTGCTATTGTTCGCCTTCTTGTGCTTTAGTTTCCTGGAATTCTCTCCTACTCCATCAGCAAGGCGGCCATAGAGCAATTCACCAGGAACGCCGCTGTGGGTAAGTGGTACCTGACGCTCACCTGAAATCTCCTTATCTCAATCACTCCCACCTAATATGCATAATTTCGTATTTTAGAACTCGGTAAAAAGGGTATCCGCGTCAATTGTGTCGCGTAAGTACTTGTGCCTGTAATTTCCATTTCGAGGACCAATTAAAGTAGTTGTAAACGAGCCGCCGCAGCTTGGATACAATACGTCCAAGTGACAGGTGTTTAAAATGTTTCCATCCCTCACCAGTTGATTGCATTGACCACTGCTCATGTCACCGACAGTCCATTTACTCAGCATCAATTTCCTCATTATGATGCGAAAGGTTCGTGCATGATATTGATACCACTAATGGCTAAAATGATATTCCAAGGCTTACCAGCCTTATGCTTATTGTGCACCTTGATCGAGTGTGTACGGCGTTTTTATTAAGCCTAAACAAAGGCATATTTAAGTTACACAACGCACTGTCTCTGTGTCCCTCAGCATACTCTACCCACCTTTAATATCAAATTGCATACTTGCTTTTAAATACTCATGATTATTTCCGTAACCTTTGCAATAGTCTTCTGTTCCATATAGGAAGGCATTTGAGGGGTCTTTAAAGTGTGTCATTCTGGTCCACCCAATGGTGGACGGGTATTGTACTGTGGCATCGTCACCTCTTAAAGCGTTGTCACTTGTGTCCGGAAGCCGTCTTTTTATTGACGGGCAAATGAGCTTGAGGCGTTAAGAGCATAGAGATCATTAACAGGACTCCATGTCACCAACGTGATAGCTGAATCGCAATAAATCGTAAAAGCATCCTAGTCAAATACATCACCAAAACGAACATTGCTTGACAGTACACCATTGTAAAAGTGGTATAATAACCAGTAGAATGTTCCTTGTAGCGTTACTGGCCTTGAATGTGTTGCGTGATGTTGCGTTTTTGTGCTGTGCAGACCAGGTGTGGTGGTGACGGAGCTACACCGTACTGCAGGTTTCTCGGACTCGGAGTACGCAAGCTTCCTGATGCGCGCGCGATCCAACAACCTGATGGGGGCGACTGGCGAGGCGGATGATGTAGCTCGCGCCATTGCCTTTCTCGCTGCGCCCGCTACTGGCGCTTTCATTACCGGTGAGACGATCTTTGTCGACGGAGGATGGTCAAAAGTGTGCCCTCGCTAGATCTCCTTTTCCTTTCTTCTGCCTTTGCATTCCCTGCTTTCTCCGAGTGTGACGCCAACGAATTGTACACGATTATCCGATCGGATGGTGTCTATATACTCATCCCATTGATTTAATTAGTTGTAGACTTTAATAGTGCACTGCCTTTCTTCCCCGAGGTAGTTTACTTGTAGGGACAGTAAATTGTGGCCATGGAATCGATGCTTTTTGGAGGAGGAATTGAGAGGCTTTCGCTGTTTCATGCTAGGGTCATATCGCAAAGTCGCAAGTCAACAGGTGAAGAGTGTAGGGGCCTGCTAAGTCATTGTTTTATTGAGTCGTAACGCGTGATAGAGTGTAGTAGTGCCATTAGCAAAGTATAGCTTGCCGAGAAATTGCCGTTCATTTGTGCAGCCATAACTTGATGTTGTGTGTACGCCCATCTCGGTTCCTGCTAAGATTTACGTGTTTTGTGACGTGTTTTAATCCCTAGCGCTTTTTGGTATGCAATGTGTGTTGATATTAGTGTTCCCGCATTTACTCCATGAGGATACGCTATAGTTCACAGCTTTTTCATCGACGTGGGACCCAGTGGTGGAGGTATCTGATTAACTAGCCATATTCTGTGTACGCTTCTGCTATCCTCTCGAAATTTCTGTTTTACAGATAGAACACTTCAGATAATGTTTCTACTTAACAAGTACAAGGATGCGTTTTAATGACACTGAATTTTCTAGAGCATCCAGCGGTGTTATGGTCCTTGAAGCGTATCCAAGTGATTGAAATAAATATGCTTTTTATTAATTAGTAACATGACGTCATCAGCTATTGTGGGTCTCCGTTATGAATACAAAAACGAAATTGTTTTGTAGTTCTACTTATTTGCTTATCAGGCTTAGATGTTTTTCTGGGGCTTTCAAAAGCGATTTCTCGAGTTTCTGGGTATTCATTTAGCATTTGACATCAATTGAAACCTTACTTCCAAACGGCTTTCTACTGTTTCCTCTTGCCTTTGCTAACACTGACGTTTGTGGTATTCAGTTTCTCTATCCGGTGGACATGTTTTTACTCATATGCTGAGCAACTAAAGCATCTTAGAACTGCCACAAATTTTACTCTTAGTCTCTGGATTCACGAATCTGTCTGAGCTCCGATGTAAATACCATAACAGAATGCGGTATTACTTTGGATTACTTGTAACAGTTGTGACAGTCTACACTGCATTGAATTCAACAATTTTATTTGGATTTTTTTATGGTTTGTAAATGACACAAATGAGGATTTAATTGCTGCGATACTTTTAGCAATGACTGTGGCTGAAACGAATGGAAACTCCCTGGATTTGTGGGTTACGATAACAGCAAAGTCCATTTGAAAATGAACAAGGCCGCTCCATGTGAAGCAAATTGCTGAGGATAGGAAGGTAAAAGCGGTTGAAGAAAAGCGTCACATGCTACTTTGTCACTTGCTGCATTCAATTTGTTATTTTGATGAGGTATCATTTCCGATCACTGTTCACTTGAAATTTCTCTTCTATTAAATGCAGAAAACCCTAATCTTAATAAATGCTTGGATTATGGGTCTGGATTGTAGATGTTCCATGCAATCGGAAAGAGAGCATGAACGTTTTTTTTTCGTTGCTGTAGTGACCTGATATTTTGTTTAACGTTTTTTTAACCATGTGGACACTTCAGTCCCCCCAGTTTGTACTTCGCTCTGCGGCATCGTCTTTGGGCTGCGCTAATAACTTTCCAGCCCTTCTGTGCGTTAGTAATGTATGCATCTTAAACACCTCTCCCCTTTTACGACTTCATGGCTGCAACGATTCCCCGTGGATTTTTACGTTTTCATGGCGAATTGGAATTTGTTTCGATCACTGAAAGTAGGCACGCCAGTAATACTATCATTCAGTGTCAGTACATACTGTAGGTACTGTAACGAAGGCTGTAATTGGAAACGGTCATTTGGAAGTGAAACACCATTGCAATTGGTTGCAAAGTAATGTAATATTGAGCACCCTTGGACCACAACCTCCTTAGGTGTTGTGTTAATTAAGTGGTAGGGGATTTGTGATTGAATTACAGTCAGAAGACACATTTACATCTCCCTGACTTCCGAGCCACGATTACATATGTTCCAAGGATTATTTGAAAATTAGGAAATTTACAAAACTAAAATGTGGCGCAGCAGCACTGCTCATTGTCGCTGAAAGAGTATTTTGATAGGTGGTGGGTGGTTCCACATGTTTATTTCAACTTCGCTCGTGTTTCTGAGAACCGTTAGCAGGAGTAGTTAAAAGTGGAGGTACTGACAATTCAGAAGTACAATTTGGTAGTTTCATGCATTGTTTCCGAAGTTACACGCAATTTGCGCGGTTACAAACTACTCTCACTGCTAGTGGCGCTTTTTTCTTGTTTTCATTACCACTAATTAACCTTGGGGAAATACCGACGAATTCACGAGCATAAAGTGCAGACTTATTGCATGAGACGGTAATGTGCCTGCCTACTGCTGGAATTCAGATCACAGGTTGGAACGTACAGATGTCAATGAGATGGCAGTTTGTTCACTTCATTAAAAGTAGAGTAATGGTTTTTGAAAAGAAGAAGCCCAGTAAGGCTGGCAAAAAGTCGCCTTGAGTGATGTCTTTGAGGGAAGAACAAGGATCTCAACCCGACCCGTGTTTCTTCTCTGAAGCATCTCCAATGCCTACAGGTAGCGGTGAGCACATTATTATTCATGTGAAGGCAAGATTGCCAGGTTATGAGAAGCTGTTGTTGGCTTTACGGGTTTGTTATCTCTGTGTGTCAGACAATTTTGACGATGCAATCAAGCTCAGGTGTGCTCTGGTAACTGCTTGTGCTGGTCCAATTGCCGTCTTCCCTTCATCGTACAGCCCACGTCGATGCAAAATTGGTCTTCGCGCGTCGTTAGAATCACCCACCAATGCACCACTGTCAATTGAGCTAGGCGCCACATATTCCTCCAAAACTCGGGCCCGTGATGTCGAGATATTTTCACTTGAATAAATGAAAGCTCCCCATTATTTGGAAACACGGAGGTGAGATGTGCAAGGTGTTTTGGTCGAAATCCTGAATGCACTTTTAGACCCAGCTCCAGCAACTTACGCCGACCTCATGGGCGCAGATTATTCTTTTTTTCTCCTCCCAGAGTCAATTTATTATAACTGACAATTTCCTACTGCCTTGTTGCCCCTCTGTAGTCCAGCCCGCACTTTCGACCATTTCGATCCTCCAGTGAAAAAGTGGGTACCATAATATTCGAACTGATTTACTATTTTCAGCGCATTTTGCATTCATCCTAAGGAAGTCGATCAAAGTGAAAACATTTGTTCCAATCCTTACCACATATTCGCCGTCTCCCATTCCTAATTCGAAGTGTCCGCTGAGATTTAGTTTTCTATTGCACTGTAAGCACCTTGAAACATGCAAACGATCAAAATGAATTATGCGGCTATCATTGGGAGTAATCAAACAATAGGCATTTACTTTCCTGCATCGATGTACCTATGAACAGTCAATCTGGAACCACTGCTTAACAAGCATTTATTGTTTTACCTCTAGTACTTGTGAGTTGGTTGATCTCATAACTTAACCATCGCCGCTTTGATCAAAGGAGTTGAAGATCTTTTCCGATGGGCATGTGCTCAATACTTTGATGTTATGCCATCACAAGCAACAAACTCATCGAAAAAAAGTGATGTTAGTATTCTCAATTACTCTCTATCTGCATATGAAACAAACACACTGGCAACTTTTATGTGTCTACGCTGTTTATAACTGCTCACTAAGCTTCCTATGTCTACATAACTCCATCAAAGGTCAGAAATGAGGCAAATAGGCAGGCGGACAAGCGGGTTGCCACAGGGAATGTGCGCATTACTAGCTGTCACTATACCAGCAGTCTCATGCAGTCGCGCTTGGCACTGGTCTGCAGCACCTATCCCAGGGTGCCAAATTCCCCTCCAGAGGTGGCATGGGCTTTCAGATCACGATGTGATGGTGGCAAGAGGTCTTGTGATCAATAGTGAATGCACACCAGCCAGGTGCTAGAGTTTTGCAATCAATTGTCTTAGTTGCCGATGGAGTGGGCCATCTTGGCTCTGCTGGCTCCGTCAGTTGGGCGTACCAACTCATCGGCAGTAGTAAGTCTGCCGCAAATCTCTGTGCTTTATTTATAAGAAAAATATCTTTATCAAAACACACTACCAACTCCCAGTGTGATAAATAAACAGAGACACATCCTTGTAGTCTTAGGGCAAATAGCTAGTCCTTTAAAGTCACTTCGGGAAGAGTCTTCTGCACACAGTCGCCAGTATTGAGCATCCATTTTTCGGAAACCGCGGTAGTATTGGAAGCAACGGAATTAACGATGAGCCAAAATTCTGCCAGCACCAACTTCAGCTATTGTTGCCTAAGTTTTTGTAAAATTAACAGATAGAATTTTTTGTATTTTCTCAAAAGGGAAGCGGAAATCTAGCATTTCTTGAGTGTAGAATGCAAATCTTACCTGAAAGAGTTATGAAGTATCTTAATTTGTTTAACACTTTCTCTCCATATCAGTCGATATGACGGACGTTTGGATGGTCCAACTTATTGTAATTACTTATTTAGAAGAAGCTTCAAAAGCCAAGCACATATAATGTGACTTGAGAAGTGCCATTAGGCGTGAAGCGCCTTAATTTACCTTGTAAATGCATTCCTTCTTCTAGATGAGCAAGGACTTTTAGCATTTAGCTTAGTATATCTACCTGTTTATGCTTAGACATTTTGCAGACTCTTTTAACCCCAGTTGTCATGCAAACTGGAAGGAACAAGAGCTGAAACCACAGCATGCGCCTGTATGATGCAACTAGTAGTATGTGGAAGAATGACAATTCCCTGGTGTATGTGAGCTTTATGGTGTAGGCGGTAAAATGCCCATGAATGGTTATAAAAACCATAAACAAGAGGAAAAGATTTACATCTGGTTCTTGGTTTGTCAGTCTACCTCTAAGGTAACAGTTAGGAACGCGCCTATACATTTCCTACTTTCCTATTGAGGTGGTCCTGAAGATGAAGCACAAGCTAGGTCTGTTAGCTTGAAGTAATTTAACCAACAACATATGAACGGCTAGTGGATGCCTTAACTTTTTTAAGTGATGTCCCCAAACTATATCATACAGACTGACTCCAAATGTTCGCCAATCAGTATCTCCGAACTCTTCCAGTTATTACCATTCGGATAATGTCACTAGTGGTCCGCAAAAATGATTTTACATCTCAAGGTATTTCCCACCCCGGTAGCCAACGAGTGCGATTTGTGAATGTCAATAACAGCAGATTTCATGCAAGACTAGAACTAAGGCGTGAGAAAGATTAGAACGGCTTTATTTTACTTCCAATGTGCTTTCATTAGTAAATCCAAAGCTCTGCTTCCATTTAAGCATAGTAGGCCTTAAAATTGGCCCTTTTTGTGATTAGTTTACCTTCATTGCATGCATTATGCATACCATTGAGGTGGCGTTTTTACTTCTATGCTGGCAAATGCTCGTGCGTGTCGACAATTGATGCCTGCTTTATCCACAAACAGCAGCCTTTCCCCCGCTGAAGTGTACCAACAACGGTCGAATGGCCGCAGAGTGAATACCCGCGCACCCTTAAAGAGTGGTGGCAAAATACAAAGACCTTACGCCTTGTACAAGCCCTTAGTACCCTCATGTGAATTTTCGCAAATAGGAATCCACTTTTCTTTGCAGTTTGGACGAAATGCGCTAATCAAGCTGGACACTATTTCTCAACTTGTAGTCTAAGTACTCAAACTACGTGGAGCCTGGTTTGTGTTTTACTTGGACTTGCGGAGTTAACTGAAGTCCACCAAATGTGCGGCATGTTTAAAGATACGGAAACACACTCAGTTACCTGAATGGAATCACTCCTTTTTCCTTCATTTTCATGTATCCTACCCCCCGGAAACTGCTCGTTGCATGTTTCATCCAATGTGTGACGCACTACCCTATGATGCATATCTAAGGGAGCCCTAATGGCACCCGCATCCAAATCCAAAAAAAACGGTCGGACCTGGGTTTATCGCGCAAATCATCACGTTATTAAGTGCCATATCTCGGTTGATCCTCATGCACAGACCCTTCATTCTACAGTAGTTGCGAAGAGGACGCAAGAATAGTTCAAGCGGCAAGTGCACGAGGTGCCAGGACACGTGTAACAAACACGACGGAGAGGCGAACGACCCCATAACACGTGCGCAACCCATTTGAGCGTTCTAAACGGCCTTGCCTAATCTGCCGGTAGTCAGGTTTATGCGGAATAGGTCTCCAGTGGGCTTAATGTGGTGTTCTTGCAGGTTCCAAAAATGTATTTTGGATGTATGAACAAGAGAACCAAGCATTTATTGACGGAAAGCAGTTAGAGACTGCATCCAACCATCCGATAATTCCACAACCTCACATGAAAATTATTTGAGCTTTATAAAGCTGATTGGTGTCAAACGCTTCACTTTCCCGAGTAATACCAGTCGACCTATTACGAATTAATAAAACCGGAAAAGTCCGAAGTATGCAACATCGATTAGCAAAAGAATGGTTAAAATTAAAACTTATCAAAAATCTCAAAACAATGCACCATTTAAAGTGGGTAGACAATGAAAGAGGGGTTCTCTTGGCGCAGAGGCAGGAGGTGATTGATGGTGAGTAGTTTGAGGCACTGCTCACGAGGGTGGAGCGAAAGGCCGAGGTTGAAGACGGGTGCGCGTTTGGGTGAGTCAGCAGGGGAAGAAAGACTATTGAGTGAGTGTGCGGAGACCGCCATTGGCGGCTGACCGGACAGCTGTACCGCCAGCTCCGGCAGCACCACCTCCGCACAACTCAGCATCTCCGAGACGATCAGGCTGTTCATTTCGTCGGGCAGCAGCTCCAAGACTCGGATGGCAAAAACCTTAGAAAAAAGAACCTAATGCAGCCCGATTCTAGAGCCCAACGTGACCCCACGCCAAGCACTGTAACTTTCCGAAGCCTACACCGGCTCATGTATTTTCGCTCATAATGTTAGGATTACGAAAACCAGTGAACCTATTTTCCGCGGGGGGCCGAGGGATCTCAAAATTAAACAAACCAAAATAAATTTAAGTGTAAATTTAACTTAACACTGTCCTAAGCATGTCTCATAAACTGATAAAGAGTGCAAGCACGCATTTGAAACCACCGCAGCTACTAATTGAGGATATCCATAGATATCAAGCGCCTGTACCTTGTGAAAGAATGCGAAATTGGAATCTGCTGCAGGAGAGGTTTTGTTTGCTGTATTGTTGAATGGCACAATCGTAATAACTCTGCTTGGATGTTGACACCAGACCTGCCATTTGAAATACATTAAGTGTTACGAAAGGGAGTGGTGATAGCCTTTAGTACTCCATACTCTTTAATTGAGCGAACAGTGAAAAGAAGACAAATTAGCGTTAAACCAGCATCATTCGTTACAATAAAGTGGAGACAGAGTATTTTTTCTGAAAAAAGTGCACATGAGGCAGTACTATAGAATCGAACGACAATAGATCGAGGCTTGGGAGCGTACCTCATAGGCAAAGTCAATTTCGGAAATATTGCGAGGGAGAATAGCATCTTCGCCAATAAACAAAAAACTGCTTGAAACTGTTTCTGGCAAATGAACAATCGCCTGTTCCTTTGAGTTATAAAAAGGAGGTAATATTCTAATATGTAATTTGCTCTGTTGTAAGAAGAAGGCTGAAAACAAAATTGAGCATTAATTCAACGGTAGGTAAACTTGACCCAGTGAGGGGAAGTACTCACGTGATGCGACATCAGCCATGTCCCCCCTCCAAATTATAAAAGCCTCTCGAATGTACTTTGAACCCGCCATGAAACGCAGTGTGGACACCAAGTACTTAATATGACTTCCCGTTACAAGGAGGAGTGTGAATCGGTTACAGATAGCTTGACCATTCGAGGGGAACGCGATTTCCAAATTGGGTGCAGGCTAAAAATAACAGAGGCCATTTTAAAAGAAAGCTCGAATGAAAGAGCTAAAAGAAATTACTATTTACCAATGAGAGACGCGGATCATTCCAATCGTAATAGGAGGGCGCATTGTGTGGAAAGACTCGACTATTGATAATGTCCAGTGTTGTGGTGACGATAGCAGTTAGTGAAGACATATACTTAGAGTAGAAGAAATCGACGTGATGCTGCAAATGAGCTATCTCATATTCGGAGTAGGTCGATATAACATCAATGAGGTTCCCAAGCTGTGTTTTGGGAATGCTCAACGAACACCTCGATGTCAGCAAAAGACCACATTGGAACATAGGTACATAAAACGATGATATCATTGTAAAATAAAGATAACTCACTTGGTCCAATCCAGTTTCTCAGGAAATGGCAAAACAACATCAGAGACTAGCAAAATAGGAATGCAACCTGCTTGCATAACGTCAAATAAAAGAGTGTTCGGAGGCTGCGTTTGATCAACTAGACAAAACAAACTGGACATTAGAGCTGTTTTGGATGGTATTGAAATCTTCGTGTAAGAATAATCCCTCGCTGTGAAAATCATAAACATCGAAGACATATGATCTCGCTTGATAACTGCACTCAGCAATTTATCGGATTCCCGATGATTTTGAAGGAGTTTATCAGCATAGCTTTGGAAGTAATCGCTAAAGTGGTCCTGAACAGCAGATAGCAAAAAAACTCGCCTAGGAACTGTTTGCAAGGACAAAGAACATACTTACTCCAATTTATTGTCCGGATAGTGTTGAAAACTGCCTACTACAGGAAGGGAGATATCGTACGTGTTTCTGTAATCTCTATATTCAAAGCCACTTCCAGCAACCATTCCAGGGAAGCTTTGCAAATTGAAACGATTTCTATCAAATGATCGAGCATAATCCAAGTCAAATACTAGGTGGTTGCGCCGATTATTCATCCTTAAATTGGGCAATTAAACAAAATAATTACCATGGAAATGAAAGAAACATGTTAAGCAATTCAGATGAGGATAAGACGTAATTTCCTTCGAAATTGAGTGATGACACAAACAAACATGCCTCGGATGGATCACTAACAGCATATTTGCTTGAATTCAACGCATCCAGCAGCTCCCGAAAATACCTGCTACCTTGATACTTCAGGTGCTTATCATTCTCATCAACGAACGTTAGCTCTGGATAGACGTATACTCGAATTCGATTAGGCAGTAAGTCTGGGTATTCGTATTCGCACAATTCCACGTTAAAGCATGTGTGATGAGAACAGCTACCGTATAAAAAACGCTGCGACTTGTGCACACGAAAGGAGAGCATGGCAAAATTACCAACAGGCTCCAGTGGGCGAGTGAAAAAAATCAGAAGCGTTACGAAAAAAAGTACAGGAATAATATACCAAAGCCTCGAATTGCATCGATGAAACCCTAAATATTTCATGGCAGATATACCCGGAGTAGGTTTCTCATAGATCATATTGTCTAGCCTACTGCGAAAAAAAGTGAGGACGGCACATGTGACAGGTGTGCGATAACAAGCCCATTTTAAGCGCGACTAGGATAAATGATTTAAAGTGTGAGAAGTTAAATAAGAGTTATGACATATTTTTCAAAAAATACTGAACATCAGTTGCGCAAAGATTTTAGGAAGGCACGTTTTACAAGTAAAGGCACTTCTAATTCTAATTTTTTACCTGAAATTGCATGACATGTTAAAATAGGATGGTTGATCTCAAAAAGTTATTTAAATCCACAAGCATTACCCTCTATTCTTGTGCGTTTTTTAGGATGATTATGCAATGACGTAAAATCAGTCGGATATATTGTCTTGAAAAAGGTCCAATAGGGCTTCACATTAAAATGCCTAATTTAATTGTGAACGCCATAAATAAGTGGGCTACTGGCATGACATAGATGGATGGCCATA